ATCAGGATTTAGGAAGGGCTAGAAGATGGTAGTTTGGACAGGGAAAGACAGATTTCTTATGTATACTTTCCTGTCCAAACTACCTTCCCTTGCTTTGCTTAAATACCTATCTTGACAGGGTGGGGGGGGGGGCTGCTTCTGACAGCTGTTGAAAACAAGTGTCAGCAAAAAGGAACTGTGCCTGACGCGAAGGACAAGATGGCACCCGCTTCCTGCTCCATGTGCAGAGGCTGGCTGGACTGGCAGTTGAATCTTGCTACAGTACCAGCCATGGCATAGTACACCTGGACCTGCAGGACAGCAGGGGCCAAGCCAGGTTGTGGGGACGCACACAACTGAGCGGAACAGTGAGGGAGGCTGTCGTTGCTGCCCCCACCCTGTGAGGCCTGAAGCAATCACCTTCCTCTGCCTAGTCCACCCCCCTTAGGGGTGGTGAGCAGCTTTCTACAGTGCTTTGCTCCTGAAATTTGGCAGCAATCCACCTATTTTTTTACCTCTGGCTAGAAGTTTCAAGAGCAGCAACAGTGACAATGGGATGGGAAGGGCTGCATGTTGCTCACGTTTGCTGTGCAAAACGGCTCCTCATGTCCCACATAATAACTGCAGAATACTGCAGTAAGGCAGCCAGGAAAGTGCAGTATCAGTTTGAGACTGTGTGTGTGTGTGTGTGGATTCCCTCAGCACCAAGCCTTGCCACCTTGGCCACAGAAGGACGCCTGTACCTTTAACAGTTGTGCACATAAGAGGGAATAACAAGGGTCATGTCACAGAGCCCTCAGCATTTTAGAATCCTGCACATTTGTGTTAGATATTAGAAAGGTTGGCTGTCCTTGGTATTGTCCCACAAGTGAACAGCCAAGCAATGTTTATGAAGGAACAAGTAATCCCAGCTATTCTGGAACTAGCCTAAGAGAGCCTCCTGACTAATCATGGCCAGTTTGTCAATTTCCCAGTAATTGTCTGGGAAAAGACCATAAAGAAACTAGGAGAGATGTACCAGATATACTGCAAGGAATGGATTTGCTGATACAGTCAAAATAATGAACTACTGTTATAACCTTGGGAGGAATTACCATCTTGAAAAATAAGTTTGACCTTTAACTGGTTTTCTGGGGTGAGTCAAATGACAAAAGTCTTTTATTATCCAGATGGCTAAACAAGAAGACACAGAAGAACAACCAGTTTGTGTCTGTGTGTGTGTGTG